CCAGGGCAGGTCTCAATGAGAAAGTGATTTTTTAAAGTAAAGAGACTAACGAAGTGAACGAACGAGCTATGCAGATGGCTGGAGATGATAGTAGGTGGTTATATAGATGAGTTTATTGTTTAAGGGAAAGTTCCAAGCTACAGATATAATTTAGAAGTCATTACCTCATAGATGATATTATAATTAAAGCCATTGAGATTGAATGAGGTCGTCAGGGAGTGATTTGTAGACAGAAAAAAAATTGGTCCAAATACTGAGCCCTACAGCATGTCAATATGTACAAGTATAAAAGAGAGAAAGTACCTGTAAATGAGACTGAGAAGGAATAGCAAGGGATGTAAGAAGATGGCCAGGTGAGTGTGGTGTCCTGGAATCAAAATGAAAATGTATTTTAAGGCAAAAAAGTGCTGCTGATACACTAAATAAGTGAGATGAAGACTGAGAAAGGAAATCTGGATTCAGAAACATGGTGGTCACAGGTGTCCCTGAGAAAAGCTGTTTTGGTGGAGTGTTGGGGACAAAATCCTGCTTGGAGTGGGCTCAAGAGAGAAGGGAAGGAGAGACCGAAGAGTATGTCTAGACAACTTGTTTGAGATGCTTCGATATCAAGGGAGGGAAAGAGAGAAATGTGGCTATGATGGAGATAAAGTAGCATCAGGAGAGGAGTTATGTCTATTTATTGTTCTGATGGGGAAAATAGTCCCAAATATGTTTGCATGTTCGTGGAAAAAATCTAACAGGAAAAACAGATGAGGTTTCTGAATAATGAAATAGTATCTGGAGATAATTGGGATAATAATAATAACCATAAAATTATAATTGATCTTTCAAATTAAATGCCTACAGTGAGTCAGGTTTCTTTACTTGGCTCTTTGCATTTATTATTATCCTCTAAAATGTCCTGCTTATCATTCCCATTTTACAGACCAGAAAATCGGGGCTTAAAATGTTAGTTATCATGCTCTAGAGCAAGGGTTCTCAAACTCCAATGTGTGTGCATATCACCCGGGGATCTTGTTAAAATGCAGAGTTTGATTCAGTAGGTCTGAGTGGGGTCCTGAGAATCTGCATTCCTAATATGATCCCAGGTGATGCTGATGCTGCTGGACCACACGAAGACTAAATGGAGTCTAGAAAAGATCATGTGGACGGTACTGAATTCCTGGTCTGTTTGACAAAAATCCCAAGTCCCTTTAACAGGTGCCGTGTATCCTCCCGTGATCTTGGTTGGGTTACAAATTAGAAAAACCAAAGTGAAACAGAAACCCAAGGAAACCCAAAGAGAAACCCAGGGAGGAAGGAAAACCAACTTTTTTTTTTTTTTTTTTTTTTTTTACCTGCTGTCTTGTGGGAAGAATCCTGAGGAGAGTGGCACAGGCAGATTGGCACACCAAAGCATATGCTCATTACTGGCCCATTGGAAGGACCAAGATTCCCCCACTGGGCCATCTCAGAAGAGTATCTGGACCAGACAGGCTTTTTCTTCCCTTCCCTCCCCTCCCCTCCCCTCCCTTTCCCTCCCTTCCCCTCCCCTCCCTTTCCATTCCTTGCCTTTCCTTTCTCCTTTCCTTGCCTTTCCTTTCTCCTTGCCTTGCCTTGCCTTGCCTTGACTTTCTCCTTGCCTTGCCTTTCTCCTTGCCTTGCCTTTCTCCTTGCCTTGCCTTGCCTTTCTCCTTGCCTTGCCTTGCCTTTCTCCTTGCCTTGCTTTTCTCCTTGCCTTGCCTTTCTCCTTGCCTTGCCTTTCTCCTTGCCTTGCCTTGCCTTTCTCCTTGCCTTGCCTTTCTCCTTGCCTTGCCTTTCTCCTTGCCTTGCCTTTCTCCTTGCCTTGCCTTGCCTTTCTCCTTGCCTTGCCTTGCCTTTCTCCTTGCCTTGCTTTTCTCCTTGCCTTTCCTTTCTCCTTGCCTTTCCTTTCTCCTTGCCTTTCCTTTCTCCTTTCCTTTCCCTTCCCCTTCACCTCCCCTCCCCCTTCCTTCCCTCCCCTATTTTCCCTCTCTTCCCCTCCTCCCCCTTCCTCTCTCTTCTCCTTTCCCCTCTACTCTCTCCCTTTCTCTCCTACAGTGTCCCTCTGTTGCCCAGGCTGTAGTGCAGTGGTGCAATCATAGCTCACTGCAACCCCAAACCCCTGGGCTCAAGTGATTCTCCTACCTCAGCCTCCTGAGTAACTGGGACTATAGGCATATGCCAGTGCAGCTGGATACTCTTTAAATTTTTCTTTGTAGGAATGAGGTCTTGCTATGTTGCCCAGGATGGCCTCAAACTTCTGGGCTCAAACAATCCTCCCATCTTGGCCTCCCAAATTGCTGAGATTACAAGCACAAGTCACCACACCTGGCCAGACAGGCTTTTCCAGTCATGATGAAGTGTCAGCTCATCCCAGCTCATTCTCTGCCTTGGTAGTATAATATATAAAAGTTAGTCCCACATGTAGACTCAAATGGAAAAATAGCTTTATTGTAGTCCAGCTTGAAAACTTGCTCTTTGCATCAGCAAGGTGTGGTGCAAGGTGGAGCACTCAGATTTGGGAGTTAGATGTAGTCAGTTTTAATTCTGATCTGGGCCCTGCTATTTATTAAATGCATGATCTGAGCACATTTTGAACCTATAGGCTGGTGCAAAAATAATTGCAGTTTTGCCATCACTCAATGGCAAAAAGTACAATTACTTTTGCACCAACCTAATATATTCTCATCTCTAAAATGGAGATTATGCTCTCTAATTTACAAATAAGCAGTACTGCATCATGGTTAAAAGCATAGCCATTGGAAGAATTAATATAAGAGCTTAAATCTTAATACTATGGTTTCCCAGTTGTGTTTTTAACTCCCATAAGCTTTAGTGTTTCTCATCTGTACAATTGGGACATTAACCTTACTTCCTAAGATTGGTGTTCAAACACATGAGATCTTTTATGTAGAGATCAATCAATGTTAGCTCTTGTTATTAATATTAAATGCTATTTTTACAGGGCTTTTGTGAGAAGTGATTGAGACACAGATGTGAAAACACACAGCACAGCCTCTTTCATGGAGGATGCACCCCGTACATCTTTGTGTCCCTTTCCCCCTAATCTCTGGGGTTATTGGATGAAGTTTGTTAATAGAAAACAATTTTAAAAGAAGTATCTTAAGTATCCAGAATCTAGAAATAAAATTAATTTAGGCTTTAGCCTGAAGCATAACTGAAGAATAGAAGAAATTCAAAGGAATCATAAAGATTTTTTTTCCCCTTTGGGCAATAGGGAATACTAGAAGGATGAAGTAAAGCGATCTTGCAGAAGTGTCTGTCAGTGCACTTTATTCAAGCTACCTTGAAATACCACTATTTCAACTCCTAGGTCTCCAAATATTATATGGAAAGATATATTTAGTATTTAAAAATCTACTTTGAAGAATTAAAAACCATTAAAATTCATGTAAGAGCATAATCTGATTTTATCACTAATGACTGCAAGCAACATATCATTTTAAGATTTTTTTTTTTTTTTAGACGGAGTCTCTCTCTGTCGCCAGGCTGGTGTGCAGTGACTCAGTCTCGGCTCGCTACAACCTCTGCCTCCCAGGTTCAGGCAATTCTCCTGCCTCAGCCTCCCGAGTAGCTGGGACTACAGGTGTGCGCCACAACACCCAGCTAATTTTTGTATTTTTAGTAGAGATGGGGTTTCACCATGTTAGCCAGGATGGTCTTGATTTCTTGACCTCATGATCTGCCTGCCTCGGCCTCCCAAAGTGCTGGGATTACAGGCATGAGCCACCACACCTGGCCCTAAGATGATCTTTTTTTTAAATTTAATTTTTATTTGTGTATTTCACTGTAGAGCTATGACAACGAAATGACATCTGTGTACCAGAGCATACATACATCAACAGTAAGACATAATTTTTCATTACATCACTGCTAGAATATTTAGCTTTGTGTAGGAGACATATAAGCATGTAAGATGGCCACACCAAATAATTTTCTGTTTTTTTCTTATATTATCTTATTTTTTTATCAATAATACTTTATCAACCTCACTGTTAACAGAACTGTAAATTATCTGGGTGATAGGGTGTGTGGAGAAGATTAACTGTGTTGTACTGTAATAGTTGCTAGAATAATCTCACACATACCAATAAGAAACTGCCACCATAACTAAGGACTAGTTACTGTTGTTAGTTGCACAATGATAAAGTTCTCTTGAAAATATTGGTTAGCCCATTTATGCATGAAAAATGCCCTTTCCACTTATACACAGGAAAAAAATATTCAGAAATTTACTTTTGGCCTTGCTATGTCAAAAAAGTCAACTGTACAAAGATCTACGTGTTAAACCTACAATTATAATTTTAAAAGTCTATTAAAGACAAAAATGTCATGCATTTTTACTATCAATTTTGTGGAGGCTTTAAAACTGTTGCAAGACTAGATAGTATATATTAGTTTTTATACTGCTAATGCACAACTAACAGCAAACTTGATTAGATTAATAGAAATCTGTCTTAATTACACGTTTATATATCACGCTAGAGACAAATGTCACAAGATCTGCAGAAACGTTCCGTTCTGAGCACTTGAATGGCAGGATAACTTTTTGAGTTGTAATGCTTCACATATAGAAAAACAAAAGAAATTCTGCAGTCTCACGTTACAAAAAAAAGTACTGCTGTAAAATATTAAGAAGGGGTAAAGGATATCATCTATAACACAAACTAACTTACAACTAGTGTCAAAAAGCAAACAAAACCTGTAAATAAAAGTATCAAAATACACAGAGCAACTGAAGCACAAATCCTGCATTAAATACAGTAAAGATTTAATAAGACAATGCCCTAGTTAACAAAAGACAAAAAAGTAGGGTGGAGAAGCTAGGGCAACCAGAAAATAAAATCAAAATAATGAGAAAAAATCGGAACTGCTGCTTCCTGCCTAGTCAGAGCACATTCTGTTTTGTGTGTGTGTGTGTGTGTGTGTGTGTGTGTGTGTGTCTTTCCATTCAAATAATATGTAACACTGTATATTTTTAATATCATAGAAAAACTTGGTTCTTCCATGAAATCCTTTAAATTCTTGATAAATTTTTCAATGTAGACATTATTATGAATGACAAACAGCCAACAAATGGGCATCTTTTGTTTTTTTAACACTGAAGATTTACAGGCATCTTTTAAAAGTTATCACAATCTTTTCTCTTTTTTTTTTCCCTCGGCTTCAAATCCATCAACTCCATCACTATCCCTTTTTCGTTTCCTGTTGTTGTGGATGTTAAAATGTTGGCTCATTTTTGATAATGGATCCATGTCTATAACTTTGTATATCTGGCGGAATGCAAGGAGTCTGAATGCAAACTGTGCACTGGATGTGATGTCTTCACGCTGCTGGTCAGTCATTGTTGCCAAGGTATCAAAGGGATCCTTTTCACAAAGATCCAGAAGCCCAGGACTACTTTTAAAAATAATCCCTGAAGAAATGGACTCAAAAACTCTTCTCAGTGCATCCCTAGGGCCTTGAGGGCTAGAAGCACTGCTGATTGCTTTCTCTACTAATAACGCCATAGTTGCAGAAACTTTATCAACTATTTCATCATCTTAAAGTGCCTAGCCATTATGTGCAAAGCATTGTAACCAAAATAAAACAAACACGGCTCTCTCTCCCAAGAAATTGCAGAAATGCGGAGGTTAAGAATAAGTAAAGAATGAGGTAGAAAATAGAAAATTTCTTAAGCCAAATGTAAGTACACTAACAGCTCAGAGAAAAATTTTTTCAAGGAAATTCACAGGATAAACAGGTGACTTCAGTCTTAAGCGTTAGATAGGATACAGAAATGAATCATCAACATTCACTCAGTTTGCAAACTTGGATTTATGAATTCATGTGTACTAATTAGACTAACTCTTTGAGGCCCAGGAGTTTTTGGAGATAAAGATCCTTATTTAGTAATTACAAGTGACTTCCACTGTGGAGAGATTCCACTGAGTTAGGTACTATGCTCAGAATAATCTTCTGTAACGCTGTCCTTCTGAGAAGGAGAATGAAATGAATTTCTGACATGCGCACGTAAGAGCATATCAGTCACATGATTGTACTTGTCTCCAAAACAGCAAGCTGTTTCTCTCCTCTGTGCTTGTGCTCAGGCTGTTCCTTCTGCCAAGAATGTCCTTCCCCTACTTTTTTTTTTTTCCTTCAACATTTATTTTAAGTTCTGGAGTACATGTGCAGGATGTGCAGGTTTGTTACATAGGCAAACGTGTGCCATGATGGTTTGCTGCACAGATCGTCCCATCACCTAAGTATTAAACCCAGTGTCCATTACCTATTCTTCCTAATGATCTTCCTCCCCAACCCCTCCCTCCAACAGGCCCCAGTGTGTGTTGTTCCCTTCCCTGTGTCCATGTGTTCTCATCATTCAACTTCCACGCATAAGTGAGAGTATGTGGTATTTGGTTTTCTGTTCCTGCATTAGTTTGCTGAGATAATGACTTCCAGCTCCATCCATGTCCCTGCAAAGGACATAATCTCATTCCTTTTTATGGCTGCATAGTATTCCATGGTGTATATGTACCACATTTTCTTTATCCAGTCTATCACTGATGGGCATTTGTGCTGATTCCATGTCTTTGATATTGTGAATAGGGCTGCAATAAACATACACATGTATGTTTCTTTATAATAAAATAATTTATATTCCTTTGGTTGCATACCCAGTAATGGGATTGCTGGGTCAAATGGTATCTCTGCCTCTAGGTCTTTGAGGAATCATCACACTGTTTTCCACAATGGTTGAGCTAATTTATACTTCTGCCAACAGTGTAAAAGCATTCCTTTTTCTCTGCAACCTCAGCAGTATCTGTTGTTTCGGGACTTTTCAATAATCACCATTCTGACTGGTGTGAGATAGTATCTCATTGTGGTTTGGATTTGCATTTCTCTAATGATCAGTGAGGTTGAGCTTTTTTATTTTCATATGTTTGTTGGCCTCATGAATGTCTTCTTTTGAGAAGTGTCTGTTCATGTCCTTTGCCCACTTTTGATGGCCTTCACCTTCTTCTTAACCTGGGTAACTCAACTTAGTGGCTACCTGCCGACACACGTGACTTCACAGAGAGAACTGTGTCCCTCTTGTTAGTGCTCCCATAACTCCCTGGAATGATGTCTGACCTCAGACTAACCTTATGGTACTGAAGATGGAGTTTATCATTGCCTGACTTCTTACTGTATCATGAGCTCCTGACCTTTGCTATCCCTTCTGTGTTGCTTGGCAGGCACCACAATCTGACACTATCTGTCTTTTACTGGGCAAATGTATATTCTGTGATTAATGGACATTTTTGGATTTATTTCTATGGTTTTGTTTTGTTTAAACTGGTTTTCTATGCCTTATTTTAAAAATCTTCCTGAGTTAAAAATCTTCCTGATTAAAAAAATTATTTTTACTTCTCATTGTGGCTTGAAGCCGTATATTTTATTTCTACTGTAGTCTATTTTGGTGGCTAAACTTAACATTTTAAAAATGTATACTTCACTTTAAAAAGTCAAGTAAATGGGCTGGGCGCGGTGGCTCAAGCCTGTAATCCCAGCACTTTGGGAGGCCGAGACGGGCGGATCACGAGGTCAGGAGATCGAGACCATCTTGGCTAACACGGTGAAACCCCGTCTCTACTAAAAACTACAAAAAACTAGCCAGGCGAGGTGGCAGGTGCCTGTAGTCCCAGCTACTTGGGAGGCTGAGGCAGGAGAATGGCGTGAACCCGGGAGGCAGAGCTTGCAGTGAGCTGAAATCCGGCCACTGCACTCCAGCCTGGGCGGCAGAGCGAGACTCCGTCTCAAAAAAAAAAAAAAAAGTCAAGTAAATGAACATCTGTACTCTTTCCTAAACAGCTCAATGCCCTTAATATCTTTTTTTTTTCTTGAGATGCAGTCCCACTCTGTGGCCCAGGCTGGAGTGCAGTGGCGGGATCTTGGCTCACTGCAAGCTCTGCCTCCCGGGTTCACGCCATTCTCCTGCCTCAGCCTCCCAAGTAGCTGGGACTACAGGCACCCGCCACCATGCCCGGCTAATTTTTTTGTATTTTTAGTAGAGATGGACTTTCACCTTTTTAGCCAGGATGGTCTTGATCTCCTGACCTCGTGATCCACCCACCGTGGCCTCCCAAAGTGCTGGAATTACAGGCGTGAGTCACCACGCCTAGCCTGTCCTTAGAATCTTAATGCAATGATGCTTTAGATCTCATTACTCTAATTTGGCATATCATTGCCTATTATTGCAGTTCATTTTATTATTATTGTATGTTTATTTTAAAACGAAACTTACTTTTGCCAAAGAGCAACAGACTATATATGAATGGGTTTAATTTTGAGCTATTTTGTACCATTCACCTATTGATATATAATATATCCACAATAAAATTTATCAATTTTAAGTATACAAGTTTACAAATGTATGCAATCATTTAATCACTACCACAGACATAGCATAGAATATATCTTTACCCAGCACAGTTTCTTTATGCTCATTGCAATCAATACCCATTTATCATGGTCCCAGGCAACCACTGATCTGCTTCCTACCACTACTGATGAGATTTGTCTTTTCTAGAGCTTCACAAAAATTAAATAACACATTATGTATTGTTTTGTTTCTAACTCCGTCCACATAGTTTAATGTTGTTGAGAGCCATCCATGTTGTGTGTATCAATTTTTTTATTACCAAGAATTCCATGATAAGGATATACCAATACCACAACTATTTTTATTCATTAATCAATTGATAAACATTTGGGTTATTTCCAATTTGGGAATATTATGAATAAAGCTGCTATGCATTTATAAATGATTTTTTGAGTGGATATAAGTATTTCTCTTGAATAATTACCTAGAAGTTGAATTGCTGAGTTTTATTGTAAGTGTACGTTTTTTAAAAAAACGTTATCACTATAATTCTAATCAGTTCACATATTAATATTACATATGCTTTAAAAAATACAAATATTTTCAAAGCTGTGTTATATACTATGATATCAAGAGTGTGGAGGTAAGTCAGGTAAATGTATGTTTATTTTTATAAGAAACTTCTAAGGTGTTTTTAAAAGTTAGTTGTACCATTTTGCGTATCCACCTGCAAAATATGAGAGTTCCAGTTTCTCTACATCCTCATTAATCCTTGGAATTACCAGTCTTTTTTATTTTAGCTGTTCTGTGGCTATATGTTCCAGTTTCTCTACATCCTCATTAATCCTTGGAATTACCAGTCTTTTTTATTTTAGCTGTTCTGTGGCTATATGGTGGTACATTGTCATTTTAAAATTAAAATTTCCTCATGACTAGTCATGTGGAGAATCTTTTTGTGTCCTATGGACATTCATATACTTTTTTTTTTTTTTTTTGAGACAGAGTATCACTTTGTTGCACAGGCTGGAGTGCAGTGGCCTGATCTTGGCTTACTGCAACTTCCACCTCCCAGGTTCAAACGGTTCTCATGCCTTAGCCTCCCCAGTAGCTGGGATTACAGGCATGAGCCACCACGCCCGGCCTCATATACTTTCTTCTATGAAGCATCTATTCAATTTTTTATACATTTAAACATTTGTTTTCTTCTTATTCTTGAGTTGTAAGGATTGAGTACTCTTATTATGAATATTTTCTGCCTGTCTTTGTAACTTGCCTTTTTGTTTTCTTAACGGTGTCTTTCATGAAGAAGAAGTTCTATATTTTGATGAAGTAAATTTTATCAGTGTTTTATTTTATGGTTTGTGATGACCGGGTCCTATCTAATAAATTCTAACCCAGGCCGGGCGCGGTGGCTCAAGCCTGTAATCCCAGCACTTTGGGAGGCCCAGACGGGCGGATCACGAGGTCAGGAGATCGAGACCATCCTGGCTAACACGGTGAAACCCCGTCTCTACTAAAAAAATACAAAAAACTAGCCGGGCGAGGTGGCGGGCGCCTGTAGTCCCAGCTACTTGGGAGGCTGAGGCAGGAGAATGGCATGAACCCGGGAGGCGGAGCTTGCAGTGAGCTGAGATCCGGCCACTACACTCCAGCCTGGGCGACAGAGCGAGACTCCGTCTCAAAAAAAAAAAAAGAAAAAAAAAAAAAAGAAAGAAAAAGAAATTCTAACCCAACTTTGCAAAGATTTTCTACAATTTTTATTCTAGAAGTTTTATAATTTTAAATTCTAAGTGTAAATTTGGGATTTCTATAGAGTTAATTATTGCGCATGGTGTGAGGTAAGGGTTGAAGTTTGTTGTTTTCCATATAGAGATTTAAGGTTTTCAGCACCATTTGTTAAAAAGACAGTCCTTTCTCTATTTCCTCATTTCCCAACTGGTCTAAAGTTAAATGATTGTACATACGTGTGCTTCTATTTCTGGACTTTCCGTTCTGCTCCATTGACCTATTTGCTTATTCTGACATCAACACCACACTCTATTTCTGTAATTGTATAGTTTACTTTTAATCAGGTATATACATCTTGCTACTTTGTCCTACTTTTTCTAAACAGTTTAGGCTCCTCTGGGCCTTTTTAAATGCCATATACATTTTAGAATCAGCTTTTCAGTTTCTACAAAAAAAAAATCCTGCTAGAATTTTGATTGAGATAGTGATCTAATTTTACTTTTTAAAAGTATAGATAACAATTTTCCCAGCACACTTAAAAAAAAACTATCCTCCCTGACTGTCACAGTCACATATAGTATACATCAAGGGTACATATACATATGCATTCGTTTTCTAGGCCATCTATTGTTTCATTCACACTTTTATGTTTTT